ACATGAAAATATTTTGCCCTCAGTTGGGTGGCACACCTGATGCGTCTGGTTCGAGACAGACATAGAGCCACCAGCCTGCACAGTCAGCACAGGCCTCGAGAGCCAATTAGGGAGCCTCAGTGCATCAAGCTTATGCTCGAGGGGTGAACAGGTTGAGCAGAGACTTACAGGGCGTATGTATACTGTTACCGCACCAAATCTAGTACCAGCGCCTTCGGTAGTCACAGGTACCTTCTTCTTTTGCAATTCAATTGCTAATGTGTTGATTGATACGGGTGCATCCCATTCATTTATCTCATCTGCATTTGCATCGGTTTTAGGGTTAGAGTTGGCTTAGTTAGTATCTCCTATCTTTGTAGAGTTACCTATTGGTGGTGATGTTGTTTTGAAGTAGGGGTGTCGGGGTTGCGACATAGAGGTTGCCGGTCATCGACTTCCTTTGCATTTGTGTTAATTGATATGTCTAGTTTTGACGTTATATTGGGTATGGACTACTTGTCATCCTATCGGATTGTTATAGACTGCTACCATCAGAGGGTTACTGTATGTACCTTGAGCGGTGATTGTTTTTATTTCTTGAGGACTGGGTGGATAGAGTCTTATCACTAGTGTATGATCCACGTGAGTAGAGTGAGCTTAGTTGCCTTCTTGCAATCTTCTTAAGTAGTGAGTATGATGAAGTTCGAATTGAGTTGCCAAGGGTAGTTTGTGAATACCCGGATGTTTTTTCAGAGGATCTTACTAGTTTACCACCTCATCAAGAGATCGAGTTCTTTATCGATTTAGTGCTTGGTATGGCACCGATTTCCATGGCACCGTATAGATATGCGTCTGCTGAGTTGAGTGAGTTGAAGATTCAACTCCAAGAGCTGCTAGATAAGGGTTTTATCCGCCCTAATACTTCACCTTGGGAGCACCAACTCCTTTTGCCAAAAAAAAAAGGTGGTGCGTTGCGGCTTTGTATAGATTACCGAAAGTTGAACCGGGTAACTATTAAGAACCAGTACCCAATGCCTCATATAGATGATTTGTTTGATCAATTGAACAGATCTGGTTGCTTCTCTAAGATAGACCTGAGATCGGGTTATCACCAGTTGAGAGTAAGGGAGGAGGATATCCCGAAAACGTCATTCTGTATGCGGTATGGCCATAACGAGTTTCTAATGATTCCCTTTGGGCTAACCAATACGCCAGCTGTATTTTTGGATTTGATAAACCGGATCTTCCATGAGTTCCTAGACCATTTCGTGGTCGTCTTTGTGGACAACATCTTGATTTATTCACCCTCTGAGGAGGAGCACAAGGAGCACTTGCTGGTAATACTTGAGTTACTTAGAGCCTACAAACTGTATGCTAAGTTTGGGAAGTGCGAATTTTGGCTGAGAGAAGTTAAGTTCTTAGGCCATGTAGTAACTAGAGAATGGGTGACTGTAGATTCATCTAAGATAGAGACAGTACAAGATTAGGAACAACCTAAGAATGCTTTTGAGATCCGTAGTTTCTTAGGGTTGGCCGGGTATTACCGTCGGTTCGGGAAGGATTTCTTTAGATTAGCTTCACTATTGACTAGATTGACGAGAAAATGAGCTACGTTTGTGTGGAGTGAGACCTGTGAGAAGTCGTTCCAAGAGCTTAAGGTTAGACTTACCACTGCTCCAGTATTGATTATTCTGGAGAGGGGTTTGGGCTACTCGGTGTATTGTGATGCCTCACGGGAAGGCTTGGGTTGTGTTTTGATGTAAGAGGGAAAGGTAGTAGCTTACGGCTCGCGACAGTTGAAAACACACGAGAGGAACTACCCTACTCATGACCTAGAGTTAGCGGCGGTGATCTTTGCCTTGAAGATTTGGAAGCATTATCTCTGTGGAGAGAAGTTTGAAGTGTTTTCTGATCATAAGAGTCTGAAATATCTGTTTACACAGAAAGACTTGAATCTGAGGCAGATGAGGTGGATGGAATTCATAAAGGACTATGACTTTGAGTTACACTATCATCCGGGAAAGGCCAATGTTATGGTCGATGCATTGAGTAGGAAATCTATTAGTAGTGTAACTTGTATTGCCATCTGGGAATAGGAGATGTTTGGTGCCATTGGAGAGTTTGACTTGCATCTTGGCAAGTCTATTAAGTCTGCAGCCATGTTTTCGGTAATTGCACAACCTACACTTGTGAACCAAGTGTTAGAAGCACAGAAGGATGACCTTAAGGTGGAATCCTTCTAGGAAAAGATTTCCAGTGGGAAGGTAGAAAGAGGCTTGAATGTGTACTCTGACTCGAGTGTTAGATACCTTGACCGTCTCTTTGTACCGGAGTCTTGCCGAGAGAAAGTACTTCGAGAGTTTCACCATTCGCAACTTGCGATGCATCCGAAAGGCACACAGATGTATCACGACCTTTGTCACCAGTTTTGGTAGAAGGGTATAAAGAAGGATGTGACTGTGTTTGTGTCAAAGTACCTTACTTGTCAACAAGTGAAAACTGAACATCAAAGGCCAGTGGGTTTGTTGCAACCTTTGCTTATTACCGAGTGAAAGTGGGAATATGTCACGATGGATTTTGTTGTGGGCTTTCTGAGGACTCAACGAGGTAGTGATGCCATGTGGGTGGTAGTTGACTAGTTGACCAAGTCGGCGCACTTTATACCTATGCGCGAGAGTGACTCGGTAGATCATTTTGCAAACCTTTACATTAGGGACATAGTGAGGTTACACAGGTCCCTGTAACAATTGTTTCGGATAGATATCCACGTTTTATAGCTCAATTGTGGCAGAGCTTATAGAGTGCCTTGGGCATTAGGTTGACTTTTAACACCGCGTATCATCCTCAGATTGGTGGGCAGTCAGAGCGCACCATTCAGGTTTTAGAGGATATGTTTCGGTGTTGTGTTCTTGACTTTAAGGGTTCATGAAAGAGGCACTTGCCCTTAGTGGAGTTTGCCTATAACAATAGCTTCCAATCGAGCATTAGCATGACACCGTTTGAGGCCTTGTATGGTTGACCGTGTAGATCTCCTATATATTGGGCCGAGGTGGGTGATGCACCCATGTTGGGTCCAGAGTTCGTCCGAAAAATGACAAAGAAAGTTGCACTTATCCGTAAGAGGTTGGTTACGGCCCAGAGTCATTAGAAAAGTTATGCTGACTATAGGAAGAGACCTTTGTCTTTTGAGGTGGAAGACCATGTATTTTTGAAGATATCACCTAGGAGAGGTTTAATGAGGTTTGGAAAGAGCGGGAAGTTGTCCCCTCGATTTTATTGGACATTTTGAGATCCTTAAGCAGATTGGAGAGATAGCTTACTGTTTGGCCTTGCCGCCACAACTTTCCAGGGTTCATGATGTGTTTCATATTAGCATGCTTCGGAAGTATGAGCCGGATCCATCGCACGTGTTTTTAGCATGCTTTCTTGTAGTTTTCTTTTCGTACTCCTTTCAGATACGATAGCCCTACAGTTCGGATTCTCGTGATTCTAAATCTGATTTCACATGTACAATGTGAAATATATAAACACAAATGAGTCCAAATTCGACAAATCTTTTAAAAAATCAATTTTGAATCAAAATGCTAAAAATTGACTATTTTGCTAGATTTCAGAGTCACCACCTAAATCTTTTTTGGAAAATTTAGGAAACTCATGACTCGTGCCAATGGCCACGTGTCTGTCATTACCAAAGTGTCTCGGCTGTATTAGAAAGGAAGGTCATGAATTGAGCACCCCACTCATCTGATCAAAAATCGGTCTCTACTAATCATGATGTGATTCTTATTTACATTATATGCTCTTGTTCTGATTATTTAGGCTATCTTTACTAGGTGATGTACACAAACATAGACCTATTTGCAAAAGTTGGAACATTTGATTTTATATTTGCTTGAAAATTGTTTTGATTACGCGTCACTTGAAAAAAATAAATTTTTATATGCCTTTAATCACAACATTCCAACTTAAGCAAAAAAGCCTCCATCCACTAGCATTCAAACATGATGTATCACTTAAGCACTTAGCCTCATGGTTTTATGCTTGACATGGCAACATTTGCATGCATGCACTATGTTAAAGTAATAAATGCTCACCTAGTACTCCAAGGTAAACCAAAAGAAAGCAGAATAGTTAGAAAAAATACATGATCCTAACTAATGCAACGTGACTAATGCAACACATACAAGATACAATTAATAGGCTCGGCTACTAATATAGTATATGAGACAATTTGATAGCATGCAATTGAAGCACGTTTTCAAAGAAATGAAAAAAAAAACAATGTTTGTTAAAATGATAAGTCGAATTTTATGCATGCAAGACAATGGATGCAAATCATGGAAAATGTTAAATGAAATATGATGCTTTATACTATCCATTATAAGCAGATAAATAAAAAGGAAGAAGAATAGGGGTTAGAAGACATAAACACATTATTACATATTTGCCCTCGCACAAGAGGGTCTGAATAAACGTCCTAGTTAAGCTAATTATTACAAATTAACTAACTAGCCTAACTAATTGCAACACCAAAAGTAATGGATTTAAAACTAACTAATTATTTATAAATTAAAACTAACTAATTAATTACAATACAAAATTAATTAGCTATTCTACGTAATTAATACAAAAACTAACTAATTAGTTACAATACAAAATTAATTAACTAATTAACTAATACGGGCTCCGAAAAACGAGGGATGACTCATGCATGCACTCGAATTTTCACTCGAAAATGCTCTCTGTTTGGATGCCAAAATACTTATATTTTGCAGTCAGGAAAATTCACTGTTTTTGGTCTCTTGTTCGTTTTTTTGCTGCTGTTGGTTTCTCACCAACCCTTTGTGGTTGTACTAGAAAATGATTGGGTATTTTCCTCAGTACCAACCTAGTTGAGATTGTGGTATTTTGCTTTGATATTTTTTGCACTTTTACTTCTTTATTAATGTAATATCACATGAAATATATGTTTTTTTCATCAATAAAGATTTTTTTACTGATAAAAAACATAAAGAATTAAGTCATAAAAAAATAGTCAAAACTATAAACTTGGGTACGATGATATCTCTAGTGATTTTTATAGTATTAATACATACATTCTTTTTTTTTTGTGTGGGTGTGTGTGTGTGTGTTTTGGGGGGAGGGGGGTTTAGTTTCAATCTATATATGTAGACTTACCTACAATATTCTAAAGTCTCCCTCAATGTCACCAAGAATGTTCACAGGCTGTGTGCTTGGACCATTCAAACATCAAGGTCTCGTTACTGGAGGATCTCTTGAACCTCTTCCAATCATGAATAACTGCCGTCAGATCAGCCACCTTGGCACTAATACTCCTACAACAATTAGAGTGGACTGTCACCACAACCCGAACATCGTTACTGCTTTGACAAAACCCACTAAAATATAGGGTATCCAAGAACTTTACCCCAAGCCTCAAACCTCTAAACACGCCTTCGTGCATCATCTTCTCAAGGACATCTTGTTCTTTCATTCCAGTGGAATTGTCTTTTCTCGAATACCATTCATCAAACAATGCAATGGTCTTATTGTTCGATCTGATCATGTAGACACCGGTATTGATGTTGTTGGCTTCGGACCACTGGTCACCATTGAAATGATCGACACTGATTTGGAGGTCGATCGTTTCATTTAGAACCAGTATTGAAAACGGATTCCTGAGCCACATTACATCGGTGTCCTGTCAGTCAAAGAATTAATCAACTAGTTAGGTCATGTCCAGTAATGGACCCATTTATAATGTTGTGGACCCAAAATCTGTGTCTATTAATATATATATATATATATATACATATTTGAAAGAAAGAATTAAGCAATTGGGTAAATCATATCTGTCAGTATCAGCCATGTTTGATAGTCCCTCCGTCCCAAAATAATGGTCCCTTTTGGGGAATTCAACTTTTTTTGATAGTACAATTCTTGCATTTGAAAAAAGTTGATTTTCCAAAATTATCCTTTTGATAGTACATTTTTTGGGAATATCAATGCATAATTGTACTTTTTATATTGTTTATTAATCCCTTTAACTTATTTGCTTAAGAAAAACTAATTTATTGCGTTTGGTTGTAATTTTAAATTGACTTTATTTGACTTTTTAAAATTTATTTGGCCTAAAAAAGTAAGGCTCCGTTTGGTAAGCCTATCAAATTATAGTTTCACCTATTAATTTGAGTGTGTTGTTTATTTTGAGCTTTCAAATCATAATTGTACACCCATTTCTCAAAACTCAATTCAAAACATAATTATTACTTTTCAAAACTTATAACCAAACACATAATTCAAAACTCTTTTTAAAACTCAATTCAAATCAATATTTTAATTTTTTAAATATTTAAATATTTTAAAAATATTAACTTTTCTCTCATAGTTCTGACAAATTTGAATAAACCATTGCTTCTATTCAACTCATGGATCAACTCTTTAGTGTCATTCAAATCCGGATCACACTCGAGCACTGAAGACCAAGAAAAAAATAATTATGACAGAATGTCATAAAGAGGAACATTTTTTTACATTAAAATTCAATGAATGAGCAAGATAAGATATTCCTTACAAGTGTAAAAATCGTTCTCATGGCGAATGCTGAAGGAGTACTCCTCATTTGAATTCTTCAAATTGATGTTAGTGAATATGAATTTTATTCCTGAAGAAACAACAAACCTTGTGATAAATATCACCCTGACAAAAAGATAAGAACACTCCATAAATTGGAGAAGTATATACCATGTCCACATTCTATTCGGAAGCCAAGGACCCTATTGTACCATGAAATGGCCTCCTCTATTTCTCCTGCATCTTCATTATTTTGTTCACACTTTTCTTCACATGCTGACAGAGCTTTGATGGTACCACAGATGACACAAAAGAAGAAGAAAAAAAAAAACAAGCGTGAGCACCAATCAAGTATATGAAAGTACACGATTTACTTAATCCAAGCAGGTTCATTCAAAAAATGGAGCATATGAATGAACTAAGAAATGCGTGGAACTGAAATGCAAATCTAGCCTCCAAAAATAAAAAGCAAAAGCAGAAAGAAACCAAAATCACAATGTGAGTGTTTGGGAAGTTGCTATTTTAGTAGGTTATTTTAGTTTTTGGCTATTTTAGGAGGCTAAATTTTGTGTTTGGGAAGATAGTTGGATTTTTTTGTAATTGGATGTAATGTTTGTAAGAGAAAATGTGAAACGATTATGGATTTGATGTAACATTTTGTCTTATTGGCTATTTTAGCCTATTTTGTCTTTTAGTGCTATTTTAACCAAAAAAGCTCTTCCCAAACACCACCAATATATAAAGGGTTAAAAAAATAAATTTCTTTCCCTCTACTACCATAAAGATCACAACAGATGTAACAAGTCAACCTAGGAACATATGGACAACTCAAACAGAAAATATCCTCGTCGTGCCTAATATTTCAACCAACCAAAGAATCAACATAACATAATATTACACTATCTCATTTGACAACATCACTTTTTAGCTTAAAAGTCAAAATGTTATTAAAAAAAATCAAAAAGTCAATAATCTATACCAAAAAGTTAAAATTTTCATTTTCTATTTATTTTTTACACATCTTTTCGTAAAAAATCAAAAAGTCATCACAAATATACTAATTTTTTTACATCTTATTTTATCCAAAAAATTAAAAAATTACTAAAAAAACTTGTTCCCAAACGAGGCCTAAGGTCAACTTTCTTTCATATATTATTAAAAGTTACACCAAACATATAATTTAAAAAGTTATAATCATAAAAATTAACTTATAAATAATTCCAAACGGATCCATCTATGGATTCCCACTAGGGGTGTAAAATTGACTCGCAAGCCCATGGTTCATCCGAAGGCCACTTGCGACCCAGGTGAGCCCCGTTCGAGACCCTGAACCTGGGCCGTGTGTTTTGTGTCCCCACCTACCCTGAAAATTTTGCCTCCTTGTTGGCTCGATCCGCTCCAACGGCTACCTCCCCCCTCCCCACGGTCACATTTTGAAATTTGAACAAAAAACTGTCATATGATCGTCAAATACCCAACAACCCAATTTTTATTTTTTTATTTTTATTTTTGATACCTCCTCCCCCAACTCCTATAAATATCCCCTCTCTCATTTTATTTCTCATAGACAAGTCTCTCTTAAACTCTCATTCTCTCTCAATTCTCAACTCTCAACTCTCAACTCTTTCAATTAATTTTCAAATCTCATCTCCAAGTGACAATTGTAATTATACAAGAAGAAACTTTTACGAGAAGAAACTAATTTTTGTTTCGCATTCACTAATCGGTAACATTAATTATTTGAATTAATATTTATTAGCTACTCATTTTTTTACATTAATTATTTCTTAACATATATTACTTGTTTTTGTTACTTATTATTTTAATTAATTATTAGTTCATATATATTATTTTACTTACACTACCATAGATCTTAATATTCTTAATATTTATATCGATATTGATGCTTATACACAACATGAATCTATGGATTCTCCTTCTAATATTTAATTCCCTTTTCCAATAGCATCATCCTCATCTAGGGGCAATGTTATATGAATTATAATACTAGGGGTGCTAGTATAATTATACCAAACTTGTGAGACTTATATTTATCTTAGGAGAGGTCAGTATAATTCACCTTAAAAAATTTATACATAACATGTTAATCTGATCGATCCTAAGTTCTTTTCTGTCAAAATTCAATTTCCTTGTTCCTAATCAAATTTGTTCTGAGCCTTTGTGAAATATAAAACAATCTAAAAAAGGGTTATTTTTGTATGGGATTAGAGTGATAGGACTTACCGTGAAGATGAAGTTGTAGCCCCGTTTAAGTACGTCTCCAAGAAATAGAGTTCTTCTCCACATCATCTTGATGAACTCATCAGACATGTACAGCTTCTCACCCTCAAAATCTACACCATCCGTTTCAAGCTTGTAGCAATGAAGCTGGAGAAACTTGCACCGATCATGGGATGTCTGATCGACAGCCACAATCAAAAGGTGATCTCTCAAGGCCCTAGAATCATCTCCGAGCCAAAAACTATCCAAGAACAGATCGAACATAGACTTGTCACCTTCCACATAGGCCTCGTTGATAATGGCAATTATTACAGTCTTGTTTTTCGTCGAAGTCTCGGCTAAAACTTGGTCAAGATCATCTTTGTAGATTGTCATGTTGAACTGTAAAAATATGTTAAGGTACATCACATTGACATAAACACTCAAAAACATAGTTCTAAATAGGAAAAACTGCAAATCAATATAGAAGATCAAAAGTAATTACAGGGAGGTGGAGGTGCAACTCTTTCTTAGGGTTTTTTGGGCTGGGGAGTTGCACCTGTCATATTTGTGCCGTTTTTGGATTTTCAACTTCAAATACCAAATATTCTCAGATGTATCCAATATCAATTAATATATGATTGTAATTATCCAATAAATAAATAATTCATTTATGGTTGTGTTGTTGACATCGATGCATATCTCAATACAATAGTTATTTTCTGAAGCAGTTAACAATATAGATATTTTTTTAGCATAGATAATAGATAGTATAGATATAGATATAGATATAGATATATGTGGCAAGAAAGATGATTACCATGATTGAGGGATGAGATTGAGACTTTGGGGAGGGAAGGGAAGACTTGTTGGTGGAGGGAATGAAGATGAAGATGTAGAGTAAACCAATGAACAAAAGTGAGAAGAGAGTGAAATCAACGACAGTGTTCTTCATGAAAAAGATGAATGATTTCAATGTGGGAATTATAGGAGGAAGAGAAACCATGATCTGGTGTGGAGCTCTTTCACCTCCGGCAAGTTTATGAGAAGAGAGTTCTGAGGGAAGAAGGTATACTAATATTTATAGGAATTAAGATTGTGGACTTTTAACAAAGGTTGTTTTAAAGTACAATTCTCAAATTGAAACAGATTTTAATTTGTTTTCTAAAATTAGGTTGCTTAATGAGGTCGTGTTTCACACTGTTTTGGATTAGGGAATTTTGTTTTAAAATAACATGGGTTTACTAAAAGATAACAGTAGCTCCCCCGTCCCGGAATGAAATTGGAGAATTCTGTTAGGATGTGGTGGGCCTGATTCCATGTCTATCTTGATCATCTAAACTCTTTAATGTGTAAAATTTGTTGAGTACATCAATTCTAGAGAAAAAAATTATGTTAATCGAATATCGATAAATACTGATCAGATTGCATTTTTTGCAATGGCAACTGTGATTTTAAAAATAAATTGCAAATACAAATACAATATAATTAAATGACTATTGATATCCAATCAACGTAATTTTTTACAAAAATAATATACTCGACAAACTCTACACATTGAGTATTTGGATTATCAAGATGGGCCCTTGAGTCTGTCCCATTGAGGCCCAAAATCACCGTTTTCATTTCTGAACTGATGAGAAGCTATTCGTTAATAAAAAATCTCTCGAATGATGCGTGGGTGAACTATAGGCCCATTTTGATAATTAGATATTTTATCATTTAAGTTTATGTGTATACATTATTTATATATTTTGTTAATTAAGTTTATGTGTAGATTATTTATATTAAAAAAATCCCATTGAATAGATGATTTTAGTCATTTAATTTAATCATATATTTGTCTTAAAAAAAAAAAAGAGCGAATTACATTAAAAGTCTTTATAGTTTGGGATTTGTATCACTTTAATTCATGACCTTTCAATTGTGATACATTTGATTCTGAATTTTGAATCTCGTTCTAAATAATGCTTATTTAATACATTGTTGCTCTATTTGAAAGGTAAAGTTGTCATATAACTTATTTTGTATTGGCTAATTTATATGTTGTTTGAAATATAATGGCCATTTTCTTAATGAATAATGTTGAAACTTTTTGATTATAAAGTTTTATTTGGTTTGGTTTTCAGAATCTATTTTCAGAAAAATTTTCTAAGAAACTAAAAATTAAATTGGTGAAATTTAAGAACACTTAATTTTTTTATAATTTTATTTTTTGGGAGGGTAGAAATAATTTTTTTATATTTAGTTTTGTTAAATTAGTTTTTATTTTTTCAAAAGTCAAATATGACAACAATTTTGATATCATTATTAAAGTAATTCATTAAATCAAAAAATCTAAAACTAAAAATATTTCATATATTAAACATATCGATTATACATTAAAATTCTAATAACCATCCATTACACGATAACAATTCAAAAATATCTGTAAACAACAAATACAACCATCTAGTACATGATAACTATCTAAAAATATTAACAAAAAGAACCACTCATTATATGATCATCATCCAAACACATACTAAAAATTAATTTGGTAAAAAATATAAAAAATAAAAAAAATTATCATTTTTATATAACTTTATATTTGGTGAGTAGAAATACTTTTTAAAAATTTAAAAATAATTTTTTGAAATTTAAAAATAATTTTTTAACAATTATTTTTATCAAATTAGTTTATATGTTATCAAATTGATAACTTTGTTTTTAAAATGGAGTAACAATATCTTCAATTATCTTTATTTAAATCGAGATTCAAAATTTAAAATCAAATATATCACAATTAAAAGATTAAATATCAAAATAATATAAATCTTAAATTATAAAAATTGTTAGTGTAATTCGCTTTTATTTTTAATATAAATTTACTTTTCACGTTCTTTTAAAACATTGAGCAATGAATTTCCATATCATTTTTATTAATTTTCATATCATTTTTAAAATTTACCGAGCAGTTCAGCTTGTAGTAGCCTTTTAAAACATTATAAATTTAGAAAAATATTTGGGAGTTCTAAACTATGAGTTCTAGAGGAGTTCTAATGGGTGGGCCTCACTCATTGATGTGATTTTTTGGCCTTAAATTTTTTTTTTTTTTTTTTTGAATTTTCACCTCATTAGTGATCCATTAATACTCCTAAATTAGTAAAATGTATCATGTTGTTCTTTTTATGAGGGTCAAAAAAAAATTAGGCATTAGGCACGTGTTTGGATAAGCTTTGGAGCCTTGGGTAAGGCTAAGGTTATAAAAGAGCCCATCAAGGTGTCATCACCCTCATTAGTCAAACACTTGTGTAAATATCCATGCAGCTGGTCTCCGGTTAGATATTAAGATTGGATCGTTTAATTTAGTTTAGTTTGTAAACTTATATTTGAGTCTTATTTTAATAATTTAAATCGTTTAATGTGTAGAACTCATCAAGTGCTATAATTTTGTAAAAAGTCACATTAATCGAATATTGATAGTTATTTGATCAGATCAATTTTATATAAAAAAAAAATAAATAGTAAAAAAATAAACGGTTGACAGAAATCTAGTCTAGTCAAATAATTATTGATATTCAATTAATGTAATTTTTTTATAAAAATATAATACTCGACGAGTTCTACATATTTCATGATTCAAATTATTAAAAAAAGCCTAAAAATAAGCCCACCAACTAGACTGGATGGTCCAATCTTAATCTCCACTGGGAGACAAGCTAGACCTATAAATATATAAAGTGGCAACTGAAGTGAAGAAAACAACAACGAATAAGAAAAAGAGTAAACAAAATAGAGGAGGGGAGCTTTAGAAAAAAAAAAAGAAAAAAGTAAAGATTAAGAGTGAATTATATTTTGTTATTTTATGAATTATTTTATGTTAATTATATTTTATAAATTATATTAACATTTAAACTATGTTATTTATTTTTTAACATTATTTATTTACAAAAAAAAGTCTTTAAACCGCCTTTAGAAAGAGTGTATTTATATAATTTTTATAATTGATGGATCAAATGAAGAGCAATTTTTTAATAATAATTAAGGGAGTCTTACTGTAATTAACTCTAAAAATGATATCAAATTGAATAATTAACTGTTGTAAGTTACCATTAAAATAGTAAAAAAATTCTAAGTACATAAAATTTAATCACAAAATTGGTTATAACATTCTCATATGAGCTGAGACCCATTAATAAATGTATAGGGTGCATTCCCGTGCAAAAAAAAAAAAAAAAAAGTCGTGTTTAATTACGAAATAATAATTGCAAACTTTTGCCCAACATTTTCTGCCTACTAATGAAAGACAACAAACAAAATGACTTCAAGTCACGCGTAGACCAAAGCGCAAGGAGAAAATATATAATCCATAATATGATAACTTTTCAAATTAAATTTTATAATTTCTTATAGTTTTAACGGTATATTCATTGGAGTTTATACCACCAACTAGTTTTTTTTTTTTTTTTTTTTTTTGATACTAGTACTTTAAAATGTGCTTTTGTTACCTTGTTTTTTTTCGTAATTATACTCCATTATTTTGTAGTTTTTTTTTTTTTTTTTAATCTTATGTTTTCTCAACTTAAAATGGTTATTCTTTAATTATTTATCATACTAAATTAACATATAGTACAATAATGGAAAATAATTTGGTTAATAATTATTCATTTCAAAAAGTATGTTCTCAATCCCACAAAAAAAAATATTTTCTCAATTATTTTTTTTATTAGAGAAGGAGAAAATCTTGTGCTGGAGTCCAAAATGTGTTGCAGTGAGTATAAGTTTGAGTATGTGCAAAGTTAATATTTGGAATTGTTTCAAAATTACCAAAAAAGGATTACCAATTAAGAATTAATTTACTGTTAATTTAATTTCAAAAGTTTCTTGAATTCAATTCATGGATACTGCTCCAAGAAAATATCTGATTTTGAGTTTATAAAAATAGTTTTTGAGTTTCTTGTTTTTCATGTTTTGTTATTTTATAGGATTAAATGATTCCTAAGAGCATATTTTACCTATTATCCCAAATTTGTTCGGTCAATTGATTTGGTAATAGTAATAAAAGAAAATAACGAATAGAAAAGCATAATGGCTTGGATCGTATATCTACGGCCAATTTACGGTAGAAGAGAAGGCTCCATTGAATAATTATTTATTTTTCAAGTTATTTTGTTTTTTTTATTAGTGAAATTTTTTATAAGATTTTTATTAATAAATTTTATATTTTTTAAGTATATTTAAATTAAGTGAATCTAAAAATAAAATATTTTGATTAAAATATTAAAAAAATTCATTAAAAATTAAAAAAAAAAGGTTCAAAAACTCAAAAACTGTTTTTGAAAACTTTAAAACTAAATGGTGTGCAATATTGATATGGAAATGAAATGAATAATATACCAGTATTGTTCCAACATTGATAATAGTGTTTACCAAATTGTAGCCCACTAGGAGATTGTTAGTATTAATGGTTGCGATTTGTCAAACCAGCTTGTTTTTTTTTTTTTTTTGGTAATTATAAATACACTTCTTGAAGTTTACTTAAAATACAGATTGTTTTTGTGGTTTTGAAAATTATAAATACCCCTTTATTAGAATTTTTTATTTAACAGAATTAACTTAAAAAAATAAAACTCATAATTGCTCTTGTATATAATAATAAAATTACTTAAATTATTAATTAAAATATATTTTACATCATCATTAAAAATTATTTATTGACTTGATGATTTATTAATAAAATGAACGATTTGTTATTGAAATTAAATCTCAGGGGATGTAATGTAATTTTTCAACATTATAAGGGGCGATTTATATTTTAATCAAATATCAGAAAGTGGTATTTATTTTATTTAATTTATTTTATTTATATATTAGGATGATTGTAGCCCACACGGGTTGGTTGTTAGTATTAATGGTTTGAGTGAGATTTGTTAACAAACCAAGCTATGTTTTTTCTAACCAGATGAATCCAACAATGGCGTGAAAAGTTAATTCTCATTTTTCTTCACATATATACACTATTTACTAATATGAAAAAAAATGAAAAATGAATTGAGTGTTATGTGAATTAAAT